ATCCATCAGGCCATCTCCAAGGCCGTGTAAGGGGGTTGTAAGCGTAGAACACGCCCTCATCCATCAATCAAGCCACCTCCGAGGCCGTGAGAGGGGGGGGGCATCGCCTGAAACCTGCAGCTCACTGGGGGGCGTAGATTTTAGCAAACGCTGCAAGATGCTGGTCATGGACAAAAGCTTCGCCAGGGGGGTGTCGACGCCCGGCGGGGTTGCAGCTAACAGCCGCAAGAATAAGAGAAGGTTCCACCTGAGCCATCCCCATCGGTCGGGGGGTGAATAGCCGCAGAGCGAAGGGGGGTAGCTTCGCCGGCGGTGTGCTGACTATCCGGTAGGGCGCAGCAGACAGCCGCGAAACGCAACCCACAGGCAACGTAGGAGTCTGCCCTGTGGCCTGGTAGGGTGCAGCTAACAGCCGCAGGAAAGGGAGGAAAGCCGCTTTCGCCTGAGACATGCTGGCGATCTGCATGGGAGCGGCAAACGGGGGGTCACCGAGTGCAGCCCCGAAACACTGGAAGCAAGGTGGGGGGGGATGGAGTTGCAATCCCGGCCACGCCCAAGAAAGTCGACGCGCTGCTGATGCCACTCGCACTGGCCGTCGAAGACCACGCCCCGGACGGCGCGGCACGGAAAAAACTATCGAACTGTCACCGTCATGGCACTGCTCTCCTTGCGCTGGCCGGACGGGGCTGCTCGACTGTGTCGCACTCGAAGTCGCAACGCTCGACGTTGTGCTGACTGACTCGACAACGCCCGTGCTAGAGCACGATGCCGACGTGGAGCTCGCCGTGGAGGTGGCCCTGAGCGTTGCACTGTCCGAGACCGCACGGGTCGTGACCATGCAGCTCGAGTTCGCTCTGTTGATCATCCGAGACGTACTGTGATACAACGAGCACGGGGAGTCAAGCTGCGGACATGGCAATTACGCTGCTGACCCCGCTCGAGCTAACCGTCGCGCTGCTGGTGCCGCTCGAACAGGCCGTCGGAGAACGCGCCTCGGTCACCTTGTTACTAGAACCTGCTGTATCCGTCAGCGACGCGACACTGCCCACCGCAGTGCTGGCGCGACGTAGTGCGGTACAACTGTGTTGCGCTCGTAACTGTACTACTCGAGGTTGCGCAGCTCGTTTCGACCCCGCACGCGTTGCTGCTCAATGAAGACGCGGGGCCCACCGCGGAAGTGGCCGTGGGCACCACTATGCTCGAAACCGTACTGGTCTCGACCGCGCAGCCCGAAGTCGCACCAAGGTCACATGTGACGTACTGCTGGACAACGGGGCACTGGAATTCCAGGTGGTGAACTACGCAGTTGTGCAGCTGGCCACGCTCGAGTGAGCCGCCGTGCTGCTGGAGCCGCCCGTACACGCCGTCGGAAGAGTCGCCTCGGTCACCGTGGTATCGAATGACCCTGACGTGTCCGTCAGCGTCGTGTCGCGACACACCTAGGCGCTGACCGGCGTGGTGCTGCTCGATCGTGTCGCAATCGGGGTCGTGCAGCTCAGCTGCGCTGCTCGCCGCGACCACGCTCGCGCGGCTGCTCACGTAGCCGTGAAAGTGGCCGTGGAAGTCGCGCTGCACGGGATCGTACTGGTCGCGACCGTGCTGCACGAGATCGCACTGCTGCTCAGCTGAGGCGCACTGCGAGACAACAGTGCACTGGGAATCGAGGCGGTGGACGATGCAGTTGTGTTGCAGGTCGCGCACGGGCTAGCCGTCGTGCCGCTGGTGCCGCTCGGGCAGGCCGATGACCCCTGGTGCCGCTCGTGCTAGCCGTCGAGGACACGTCCCGGCTAGCGCGGTATGAATGACCTCGTCGTCTCCGTCGGCGTCGCGCCACTGCTCACTGGGGGGCTGGCCGGGCGGAACTGCTCGACTGCGTCGCACTCGAAGTCGCACTGCTCGACGTTGCGCTACCCACCTCGCCCAAGCTCACGCTGCGGCTCGATGGCGACGTGGAGCTCACCGTGGAAGTGGCCGTGGACGCCCCACTGGACGAGGCCGCACTGGTCGCGACCGTGCAGCTCGAGGTCGCTCTGCTGGTCAGGTGATACGTACTGCCAGACAACGATGCACTGGAGGTCAGGCTGCGGACAATGTAGTTGTGTTGCTGGATGCGCTCGAGCACGCCGCCGCGCTGCTGGTGCCGCTCGCACTGGCCATAGTGGAGCGCGTCTCGTGCAGCGTGGGATTGAGTGACCCTGTCGTATCCGTCAGCGTCGTGCCGCTGTACACCGTAGTGCTGGCTGGCGTGGTGCTGCTCGACTGTGTCGCACTTGACCCGTACTGTTCGACGTTGCGCTGCACGTCTCGACTACGCTCACGCTGCTGGTGTGTGCCGAAGTGGAGCCGCCGTGGAGGTGGCTGTGGACGTCCATGCACGAGGCCGCACGGACCGTGACCGTGTTCCTCGATGTGCTGCTGGTCACGGCTGAGCGTTGACCAGCCCAGGCCCGCTGGGCAAGCAGCCTCCAGGCAGGGGGGGACGCCGCCTGAGACCTGCAGCTCGCTGGGGGGCGGGGGCGTCGGAGACTGCCGCGTGCTCTTGCGGGGCGCAGCTAACAGCCGTAGAAAGATTGGGATAGGGTTCGCCTGAGACATATTGCTGCGCTGGCATTGGGCAACCTGAGTCACCCCACTGCTCAGCACGGATCCAAACGTCAGCCGCAGGACGGAAAGGGGGTCACTCCGCCTGCAGCGCGCGGGTTCTCTGGTAGGGTGCGGCTGACAGCCGCAGAAAGATTGGAATTATTCTGGTAGGGCGCAGCTAACAGCCGCAGAAAGATTGGGATAGGGTTCGCCTGAGACAAACTGCTGCGCCGGCATTGGGCACATGAGTCACCGCGCTGCTCAGTTCGAATCCAAACGTCAGCCGCAGGACGGAGGGGGGCCACTCCGCCTGCAGTGCGCCGGTCCTCTGGCAGGGCGAAACTGACAGCCGCAGAAAGATCGGAATTCGGTTCGCTCGAGACGTGTTGCTGCGCTGGCATTGGGCAACCTGGGGCGCCAGGCTGCTCAGTCGGACTCCAAACGTCAGCCGCAGGACAGAGGGGGGTCACTCCGCCTGCAGTCTGCCGGCCCTCTGGTAGGGCGCAGCTAACAGCCGCAGAATGATCGGGATGGAATCCGCCTGAGACAGATCGCTGCGCTGGCATGGGGAAGCTGCGCTCAGCGACGCCCCCGCTGCGTTCAGGATCGGAGGTGGGCCTCCGACGTGCCCGGAACTGCGTGGAAGGGACAGTCGCCCGAAGCAGACAGGAGGGAGACGCGGAGAGGCAGGCGGGGGGCAGCTGCCGGCTGTCCACGACTGGGGGCGGGAAGGATAGGGATCACACCTCCGTATTACCAGGCCAATGCATGTTGACTACTTCTCTCCAAGGGGCGCGCCTGCCGCCGTAGTCCACACGCAGGCCTGCGAACTGCGCAGCGATGTCCACGGAGAATCACCTCACCTGACGCCTGAGACATACTGGATGTTGGACTGGGAGCAGCAATCGGGGGGGCAGCCGATTGCCGCCCACAACCAAGAGGGGGGTGGAGAGGCAGCCAACGCTGCAGGATGCTGGTTATGAACAAGAGCTTCGCCAGGATGGTGACGACGCCCTGCGGGGTTGCAGCTGCCAGCCGTAAGAATAGGAGAGAAGGTTTCACCTGAGACATCCCTTCGGACTGAATGCAAATAGCCGCAGAGCGAAGGGGGGTAGCTTCGCCCGTGGCGCGCCGATTCTCTGGTAGGGCGCTGACTCGCAGACGCCGTCGACACGGGGGGGGGGGCAGACAGCCGCGCCTTCGACGTCAAGTGCCCGACCTCGCCCAAGAGCACTCCCACCCTACAGCGAGCGGCCAGTGTCGGCGCCCACGAGATCCCGACCATCTCGCGGGGGGGCCTGGCGCCCCCTGTTCGCGCCGACGTGGTGTCCCAGGTGCTGTCCGCGCACCTGCGCCCAGTCGATACCCAGGCCCAGTGAGTCGCCCATGGACCGAGGATCGCAGCTGTGGCTGCGAAATGGGGCCAGGAAGGCGACGCAGGTTCGCTGGTCGCGCCGACGCGCGTCGAAAGCGCGCGCGGTGCCGGGGGCGGCGCGTTGCTCGGCAAAGGCGTGCCAGACGTCTGTGAACGACGCGCCCAGGGTAACCTGAAGGTGCCTGAGCGTCTCGTTTGGTGACTCCCCGTGGAGTTCCCACTGGGAGCCGTGGACCCGGGCTTTATAGAGAGGCCCTCCAGTGAGAGAGCCCCGTGGCCCTGGATGCTGGCGATCCGGCGAACAGCCTGGGCGTCCACCCACTTCCCGTCCGACGCGTCGATGATGCCCCCCGATTGGGCTGCCAGCCCGTCTCGGCGGTCGAGCTCACGCCCCCACCCGAGAGGGGGGGTCTGGCCAGCTTTGCAGGGACGCAGGGGTTGCCCCGCGGCTGCTCGCAGAGGCGCCCGTCCGCATCGAGTCTCTGGCAGGGGAGGAGGGACGAATAGGGGCGGCGCAAGGGCTCCTCGAAACCAACTGAAGGATGGCTTCGTTGTCACGCTCGTCAGGGGAAGGCTGACGTGTGGGCGCGGTGGAACTCCCCAGTGCCGTCTGGAGGGTGGCTTCACTGTCGGGCAGGCCGTCGGGTTGGCCGTTGGGCTGGCCGAGGAGCTGGCCGTGGGATTGGGCGTCGGGCAAGGCCTCAGGTAGAGCGTCGGGTAGGGCGTCAGGTTGGGCGTCGGGAACGGTGTCGGGTGAGGCGTCAGACTGGTCGTGGGGCTGGTCGTAGAGCTGGCCATGGGACTGGCCTTGGGGCTGGCTGTCGGGCTGGCCGTCGGGCATGCCTTTTGTGCTGGCGGTCGGGCTGGCCGTCGGACTGGTCGCGGGGCTGGCAGTTGGGTTGGCCGTGGGGCAGGCTGAGAGGCTGGTCGTGGGGCTGGCAATCGGGCTGGCCGAGGGGCTGTCGGTCGGGCTGGCTGTCAGGCTGGCCGTGAAGCTGGTCGTGGGTTGAAAATCTGGCTGGCCGTGGGACTGGCCGCAGGCATGGCCGTGGGGCTGGCCGTGGGGCTGGCCGTGGAGCTGGTCGTGGGGCTGGAAGTCGGGCTGGCCGTGGGACCGGCCGTGGGGCTGGCAGTCGGGCTGGCCGTCAGGCTGGCCGTGGGGCTGGCCGTGGGGCTGGCAGTCGGGCGTGCCCTGGGTCTGGCCGCAGGGCTGGCCGCGGGGCTGGCAGTCGGGCTGGCCCCAGGGCTGGCCGTCGGGCTGGCTGGCGGTCGGGCTGGCTGTGGGGCTGGCCGTGGGGCTGGCCGTGGGGCCGCCCGCGGGGCTGGCAGTCGGGCTGGCCACGGGGCGGGCCCACGGGCTGGCCGTCAAGCGGGCCGTGGGGCTGGCAGTCGGCCAGGCAGCGGGGCAGGCAGTCGGGCTGACCGCGGGGCTGGTCGCCAGGCTGGCCGTGGGGCTGGCCGTTGGGCTGGCCGTCGGACTGGCCATGGGGCTGGCAGTCGGGCTGGCCATGGGGCTGGCAGTCGGGCTGGCCGTCGGGCTGGCCGTGGGGCTGCCAGTCGTGTTGGCCGTGGGGCTAGCCGTGGGGCTGGCAGTCGGGCATGCCCTGGATCTGGCCGCAGGGCCGGCCGCAGGGCTGGCAAAGGGCTAGCCTCGGGGCTGGCCGTCGGGCTGGCCGTCCAGCTGGCCGCGGGGCTGGCCGGGCTGGCCGTGGGGCTGGCAGCAGGGCTGGCCGCGGGGCTGGTTGCCAGGCTGGCCGTGGGGCTGGCCGTCGGACCAGCCGTGGAGCTGGCAGTCGGCCTGGCCGTGGGGCTGGCAGTCGGGCTGGCTGTCGGGCTGGCCATGGAGCCAGCTTCATGGGGCTGGCCGCGGGGCTGGCAGTCGGGTTGGCAATGGGGCTCGCCGCGGGGCTGGCCGTCGGGCTGGCCGTGGGGCAGGCCGCGGGGCTGGCAGTCGGGCTGGCCGTCGGGCTGCCCGTCGGGCTGGCCGTCGGGCCGGCCGCCCGGCTGGCCGTGGGGATGGCCAGGCTGGCCGTGAGACCGGCCGTGGGGCTGGCAGTCGGGCTGGCCGCGAGGCTGGCCGTCGGGCTGGCCGCGGGGTAGGCCGTGGGGCTGGCAGCCGGGCTGGCCGTGGCGCAGGCCGCGAGGCTGGCAGGCAAGCTGGCCACGGGGCTGGCCGTCGGGCTGGCCGTCGGGCTGGCCGTGAGGCTGGTCTGGCTGGCCGTGGGACTGGCCGTAGTGCAGGCCGTCGGGCCGGCCGCGGGGAAGGCAGTCGGGTTGGCCACGGGGTGGGCCAACGGGCTGGCCGTCCGGCGAGCCGAGGAGCTGGCAGCCGGGCAGGCCGTGAGGCTGGCAGTCGGGCAGCACGGGCAGCACGGCGCCGCCGGCCGCCGCCGCCGCCGCCGCCGGAGGAGAGCCGGCGGCAGCGGCAGCAGCGGTGGCGGCGG